GTTTTTTTCTAAAATGTGTTTTTGACCCCTAGACGACCTTTGAAGTTGACCTCTTGCCGAATCCCGTGAAAGCTCTTTCATCTTCGGAAAAGGAATTTTCACAAAAAAAAAATCGTGCTCAATATTAAACAGTTAAAGGTTATTTTCGATATTAAAAATTCCTTTTTTCAATCGGGACAAGCATACCATTTAACCGGCGTACTAAAAAAAATAAATTTCCGAACAAAACTCACCTGATATTTTTCTGTGTTCGATGCAATCCTTAATAAACGGTACGCGAAAACTTCTCTCCCTGGTCACTTTAAAAGTATACCTTGCACTTACTCGCAATTCCATTTTTAAAAACACCGGGGATTAACTAAAACGTGAAAATAATACGTATTACCGACTTGCACACAACGGAACATGAAATTACGCAGCATTGTTCATCTTTTGTATGCAAAAAGAAATAGGGTTTGTAACGATGGAACACAATGCGAAATGAACAGCACATTACAATTTCTGTGTAGAGAATAAAGAAATTATTTTATCGCTTTAAAAAATGGTTAAAATCGTTCTTTGATGTGTTTGACTCTACTCCCGGCGTCGGAGTATAAATCGCACGCACATGACACGAAAGGAAATGCCTAAGCTGGAAACTGGGACTAAACTAGAAAAAAAACGCAAGTGGAGAATAAATAAATTGTTGTGAATCAAATGGAAAGTTTCGCTGGAAAGAAAGTTGTATGGAAGCGATCATTAACCTTGTTTACAAAATTTCATACCAATAAAACTTTCTTGGAAAATAATGATTATTTTTTCAAAAAACTTCCATTTTATAGAAATTTATTTGAAAATTTCAACATTTTCAGATCATATTTTCCCATTTTTGAGTTTTAAATTTTTGGAGTTTTATTAAAATTATGTATTTTTTTAAAAAACTACCTCTTCAAAGAAGTTTGTATGAAAATTTTAATATTTTCAAATCATATTTTCCAGTTTTTCAAATAATCAAATCTGTTACGAAAGAATTTAAATTTCTAGTTTTATTTAATCAAATGGAAAGTTTCATGGGAAAGAAAGTTTCATGGAAGCAATCATTAAAGCTTGTTTACAAAATGTCATTCTAACAAATCTTTCCTAGAATTAAAATTCTGGTTATTTTTTCAAAAAACTTACATTTTATAGAAATTTATTTGAAAATTTCAAAATTCATTTCATTTTCAAAAATCATATTGTCCCATTTTTGAGTTTTAAATTTTTGGAGCTTTATTAGAATTTTTTTTTTTCAAAAAACTTCCTTTTCCAAAAAGTTTGTAGAAAATTTCAATATTTTCAAATCATATTTTCCCGTTTTTCAAAGAATCAAATTGTTATCGTAGAATTTAAACTGGAAAGTTTTATTTTAACAAATGGAAAGTTTCACTGGAAAGATAGTTTTATGGAAGTGCTCATTAAACCTTGTATAAAAAATTTCATACCAATAAAACTTTCCTAGAATTAAAATTATGGTTATTTTTTCAAAAAACTTCAACATTTTCAAATCATATGTTCCCATTTTTGAGTTTTCAATTTTTGGAAAATTTTATTATTAAAATTATGATTATTTTCTAAAAAACTTCCTTTATAGAAATTTATTTGAAAATTTCCACATTTTCAAATTTTTCATTTTTAAATATTTGGAAAGTTTTATTGAATCAAATGCAGTTTCACTGAAAAGAAAGTTTTATGGAAGCGATAATTGAAAATGAATTGTTTTAAAATTTAATTCCAAACCATCCTAGAATTAAAATTGGTTATTTTTCAAAATCTTCATTTTTAAAGAAGTTTGAAAATTTCAATACTTTCAAATCATATTTTCCCATTCTTCAAATAGTTCCCAAAGAATTTAAATTTCTGGAAAGTTTTATTGAATCAAATGGAAAGTTTCACTGGAAAGAAAGTTTTATGGAAACGATAATTAAACCTTGTTTAAAAAATTTCATACCAGTAAAACTTTAGCATCGGAGTATAAACCGCACGCATATGACACAAAAGGAAACGCCTAAGGTGGAAACTGCGACTAAACTAGAAAAAAAACGCATGTGGAGAATTAAGAAATTGTTTTATCGCGTTAAAAGGTTGTCAAAATTGTTTTTTTTATGTGTTCGACTCTACTCCCGGCATCAGAGTATAAATTGCACACATACGACACAAAAGGAAACACCTAAGCTGGAAACTGGGACTAAACTAGGGAAAATTTTGTTCTAGGAAGGTAAATGGATCGGTCTGGAAGAAATACGGTACCAACTTAGAAAATATAACAACTTTATTAATGATAAAAAGTATATATATCCTAGCGTGATATAAACATTGATTAATATAGTGTTATTAAATCCTTACTTCCTAGTCAGGCAAGAAAAACTAACCTAAAAGTTCCACTGAATAAATTAAGTGTAATAAATAGTAAAACTTAGAAAAATAAAATATGTACAATTAAAAATAAAAGAGTTTAAAAATTAATTTAAAGATAATACCGTTCTGTAAAAAAAATGGAATCGTAATTGATAATAAAGCGAACTTGTCATCTCGAAAACGATAAAATTTGTACCCTAGAAATTACCTCCGATAGAATCCAATCGTCACCGACAATATAAGCAACAGTTTTTATGTACAAATAAATAATCGGCGGCCGCCGCCAATAAAATTATTAACAACACTATGACTAGCCGTTAAAATTACCAAGTGAGAAAACAGAACAACTCACGCGACGCCCCGGCATCGGGACTCGACGGCACTAAAAGTTAACATCCTACTTAATCCTTCTGTAAAACATAATAGAGAAATATCTAAAAATATCACCCAATTCAACAGCAATGGCCAGCGGGGCGTTATTTGCCACCGCTGACGTTCTCCGACTGCTTCTTCCTGCGTCGTCCGCCTTCCAGGAGGTACGACACGTCCAGGACCTGCTTCGTGGGCATCTTGCCCAGGAGATTCAACAGTATCTTGTTTAGTCTCGCCTTCTGCTCGACGGGTGTCTGGAACAAAGCCACATTACGTCGAATCGTGAAATGGAAACGATTTTTTAGAAACGACCGATAAAAATAAGGAGGAAACTTGTTTAATAAAGGTAAAAAAGGACAGTATCACCGAAAAAAAAGTTTTATGGAAGCGATAATTAAACTGTTCTAAAATTTCATTCCAATAAAACTTTCCTAGAATTATTTTTCAAAAAACTTCCTTTTCAAAGAAGTGTGTATGGAAATTTCAATATTTGCAAATCATATTTACCCGTTTATCAAAGAATCAAATCTGTTACTGAAGAACTTAAATTTCTGGAAAGTTTTATTGAATGAAATGGAAAGTTTCACTGGAAAGAAAGTTTTATGGAAGCGATCAATAAACCTTGTTTAAAAAATTTCATACCAATAAAACTTTCCTAGAATTAAATGGATGGTTATTTTTTCAAAAAACTTGAAAATTTCAACATTTTCAAATCATATTTTCCCATTGTTTAGTTTTAAATTTTTGGAGTTTTATTATTAAAATTATGGTTATGTCTTTCAAAAAACTTCCTTTATAGAAATTTATTTGAAAATTTCCATTTTCAGATCATATTTTCACATTTTTCAGTTTTAAATTTTTGGAGTTTTATTGAATCAAATGCAGTTTCACTGAAAAGAAAGTTTTATGGAAGTGATAATTAAACCTTGTACACCATATATTTACACATTTTTCAAATAGTTAAATCTGTTACCGAAGAATTTACATTTCTGGAAAGTTTTATGGAAACGAGAATTAAACATTGTTTACAAAATTTCATACCAATAAAACTTTACTAGAATTAAAATTATGGTTATTTTTTCAAAATTTTTTTTTTATAAATTTATTTGAAAATTTCAAGTTTCAAATTATATTTTCCCATTTTTCAGTTTTAAATTTTTGTAATTTTATTAAAATTATGGTTATTTTTTCAAAAAACTTCCTTTTTATAGAAATTTATTTGAAAATTTCAACATTTTCAAATCATTTTTTTTTCGTTTTAAATTTATGGAAAGTTTTATTGAATCAAATGGAAAATTTCACTGGAAAGAAAGTTATATGGCAGCGACCATTAAACCTTATTTAAAAAATTTCATACCAATAAAACTTTCCTAGAATTCAAATTATGGTTATTTTTTCAAAAAACTTCCTTTTTCTAGAAATTCATTTTAATATTTCAACATTTTCAAATCATATTTTCCCATTTTTCAGTTTTAAATTTTGGAAAGGTTTATTGATTTAACTGAAGAGAAAGTTTTATGCAAGCGATAATTTAAACTTTTTTAAAATTTAATTCCAATGAAACTTCCCAGAATTGAAATGCTGGTTATTTTTCAAAAAACTTCCTTTTTAAAGAAATTTACTTGAAAATTTCAACATTTTCAAATCATATTTTTCTAATTTTCAGTTTTAAATTTTTGGAGTTTTATTGCGCCAAATGGAGTTTTACTGAAAAGAAAGTTTTATGGAAGCGATAATTAAACCTACAACCCTGTTTAAAAATTTCATTCTAGTAAAACTTTCCTAATATGAAAATGCTGGTTATTTTTAAAAAAACTTCCTTTTTAAGGAAATTCACTTGAAAATTTTTACATTTTCAAATAATATATTCCCAATTTTCAGTTTTAAATTTTCGGAAAGTTTTGTTGCATCAAATGGAAAGTTTCACTGAAAAGAAAGTTTTATGGAAGTGATAATTAAAATTTCACTCCAATAAAACCTTCCTAGAATTAAAGTTCGTTATTTTTTTAAAAACTTCCTTTTTAAAGAAATTTATTTGAAAATTTCAACATTTTCAAATCATATTTTCCCATTTTTCAGAGTTAAATCTGTTATACTAAATTTGATACAAAATTGCAATTACACTATCCTCAATTTTCCCAATCTTTATTAAAACTTTCTTTTAAAATTCAAAATCAATAAAACTTCCTAAGAACTAAAAAATATTGAAAGTTCCTCACCCGAATCACCGGCGGCAAGACAGGCACCGCGCCGACCATGTCCCTAAGGACGGGGATAGCCGGAGGATGGTGCACCTCTTCGTTTTTCTGCTTCCTCCCCCCGCCCTTCATCAGGGCGGCGTCTACGTCGTGCGGAGTATACGTCCGGGAGATCTTCAGCCTCGTCTCGAACCTCTCGAATGCGAAACTCTTGGTGCAGACCGGGAACTTGTTCTTGGACACCTTGCTGAACATCTTGGCCCCCTTGTCGACGCGATACTCGCAGATGTAGATGTGCTCCTCGGGGGCGCCGATCGGCCGACCCTTACAGAATGTGTTCAGGTCCATCACCCAGCAGTGGGAGATGACGAGCTCGACGGGCACGGCCTCGTACAGGGGCACCCGCATCACCTCGTTCGGGAAGAATCTGAAAAAAATCGTGATATAAATCATTGAAAAAAGTAGTTGAGGTGGTCCTCGAGGTGCTATGACTTACTTTCTGGTGGGTTCGTGGTAGGTTTCGTGCGGCCGCAGGTAGTGGTGGCCGTACGCCAGCCTCCGTCCCGTGCTGGACTCTTTCCATAGCCTCTCTATGCGGAATATGTCGAGGTCGGCGTACTCGATCTTGCCGATTGTGTCGTACGTGTGTTTGCGGTCGGTGCCCTCTATGGGGATGTCGCGCAGGACATACACGGTGTCGCCTTGTCTCAGTTGCAGTTCGCCTCTCATGAGGGTCATGTAGTACCTGGGAAATTAGATATTATCATTAAAAGAGAGAACATGCTTTGATTCTCTGAACAAGACTGGAAAGTTTCATTTAAGGAAAGTTTTACAAAAGAATTGAATTTTATTTCTTGGAGTTTTACCAAACTGGAATTTTATAACAGTTTTCATATGTTTTGATTGTTTGCAAAATGAAAAGTTAAATGAACATTAATTCTTGGAAAGTTTTATTGAAATTAAGTTTTAAAATATTGAAACGGAAAAATAAATATTTAATTGAAATTTTTATCGAAGTTTCATACAAAAGTTATGACTGAAAATGTTTCTAGACTTTTTTAAAAGAAGTAATGAAACAATTGAAATTCTCGAGTTTTATTGAACTGAAATTTTAAAACGAAGCTATCTCGCCTAAACAAAAACTTTAACAAAGAAATAACTAAGTTTTAATTCTTGGAAAGTTTTATTGAATTGGAATTTTGTACCAAAAGTTTCGACAGTCTGAAAAACGAGAAAGAAAACATGATTGGAAAAGTAGACAGGTTTTTTGAAAGAAATATTTTACATGACTGGAAAATCTTATTGATTTGAAGTTTTAAAACAGAAAGTTTCACTTAAAGAAAGTTTTACAAGAAAACTGAACATTAATTCTTGGAAAGTTTTATTGAAATGAAATTTTAAAATATTGAAACGGAAAAATAAAGATTTAATTGGAATTTTTATCAAAGTTTGATATAAAAGTTATGATTGAAAATTTCACTAATTTTTTTTGAAAAAAATAATGGAACAATCGAAATTCTTGAGTTTTACTGAAATGAAATTTTAAAATGAAGCTATCACCTAAAACAAAAGCTTTAAGAAAGAACCAACTGAAAAGTTTTAATTGGAAAGTTTTATTGAATTTTGGAATTTTGTACCAAAAGTTTCGACATTCTGAAAAACGAGAAAGAAAACATGATTTGAAAAGTAAACAGGTATTATGAAAAAAATATTTTACATGACTGGAAAATCTTATTGATTTGAAGCTTTAAAACAGAGTCTCAATTAAAGAAAGTTTTACAAAATAACAACCTTAATTCCTGGAAAGTTTTACCAAATCAGAACAAAGAGAAAGTTTCAAAATTTCAGGGAGTTTTCTCATAAATTAATGTTTGATTCTTTACCTGTGCCCATGCTCCGTAAACTCATCCAAAGGTATCTCGTAGTCCACAGGCCTCGGCACGCATATTTCACAGTGATAACTCGGGGCCGACGCGTCGGCCTTGACACACTCGCAGTGCTGCCACACCAAGCAACGCTCGCACTGTATCATCAAGCCCTCATCCCTCGGTATGCCGCATATACACCTTATTATGTCCTCCTCTTCATCTGAAAAGAAAAAAATCGAATTAAAACATCGCTAGAAGCAAAATAAAAACGTTTCCCGCATACTTTTCTTCCTATTCGAAACGAAATTAGGCGGAGGTTTCTCGCCTAGGGCATCCTCGAGCTTGTGGAGGCTCTGCCGTTTCGACTCGGCATAGATCTTCTTGAGCTTGGCGGCGCAGATTCCAACGTCGCTCGTCCGCCCGTAGAACCTGATGTAGTTGCGGAAGAGCTTGTTGAAATCCTCGTCGAAGCTGTTGGGGGTCTTGTAGACCCCCGTCGCTATGTTCTGCTCTATCGTGACGAGGTCTATGGGGTTGGCGATGCGGGTGTAGTACTCCGGCACCTTGCGCTTGGAAGGCATCGTCATGAAGGGGGCGCTCATCTGCTCGCCTTTTTCATCTGAAAGGAAATATAATTAGGTTAGGTTCAACGTATCGGAAGCTTCCTTCTCACACCTAAAACACATTCAGAAAAAAAAATTTTTCAACAAGGAAAGTTTTATATTAGAAAAAAATTTAAAAAAACAAGTTTTTAGATTAATATTTGAAAAATATATGCAAATTTTAAAAGTTTGAAGTTTTATTTTATACAGAGGTACATTAAAAAGTCCAATTTTTATACAGAATATCCACAAATTTTAATTTTCAAACTTAGAAAGTTTTATAGGTTATTAAACGAGTTCGGAAAGTTTTATTTTTTACAGAAATACATTAGAAAGTCCAATTTTTATATAGAATATCCACAAATTTTAATTTTCAAATATAGAAAGTTTTATAGGTTGTTATTAAACGAGTTCAGAAAGTTTTATTTTTACGGAAGTATATTAGAAAGTCCTATTTTTATACAGAATATCCACAAATTTTAATTTTCAAACAGAAAATTTTATAGGTTATTAAACGAGTTCGGAAAGTTTTATTTTATGCAGAAGTTCATTAGAAAGTCCAATTTTTGCACAGAATATTCACAAATTTTAATTTTCAACCTTAGAAAGTTTTATAGGTTAATTAAACGAGTTCGGAAAGTTTTATTTTATACAGAAGTACATTAGAAAGTCCAATTTTTATACAGAATAACCACAAATTTTAATTTTCAAACTTAGAAAGTTTTATAGGTTATTAAACGCGTTCGGAAAGTTTAATTTTATTGAGACATTTTAAATGAAATGGCTGAAATATTTGAAAATTTTATGAATTTAATTTTCAAATAAGAACTATTTTAAATATAAGGAAAGTCTTACCTTTTGTGCTGATAACCACCGACCAAATATCTTTGAGGAGGGCAGCTAGTTTGACAGTTTTGTTCAATTCGGGATCATCTTCGGCCTGGGCGAGCCTCCTCGTCTTCATATTTCTGGGTTTCTGCAAGGCGTTGAGGTGGTTCATGAAGGCGCTGGTGTCCGTCGGGGTGGCGGTTTGCTGTCTAGAAATCGCCAGGGCCGTAGTGCTCAACGACCTGTCCCGAACTTTCCTAACCTAACAACAAGAAAAAAAGTCGGTTGGTCATAGAAAAGTTGTCACGTGATCGTTTTCACCGAAAGCTACTCACTTTCGTCAAATTTCTCAGCAGGAAGCAGTGATGCTCCAAAATAAAGCACTTCTGCTGGTGGCTCATCGGTTTGACCTGGATCTGAGGCAAGACCTGGGCGGCAGCTGGCGGTTTCTCCACCTCCTTGCTGCTGCTCGCCTTCTTCTTGGCCTCCGTCTTCCTCGGCCTGCCAACCCTCCCGGGATTCTTGACCGTACTCGGTTCAGGGAGCTGCCTCACCCTCTGAGACTTCCCGCCGATCACCCCCCTGCACAGCTCGCTGCCGCACTTGCACTCCTGACCTTCCGCCGGGTTGAAGAGCGAGAAGTTGTAGTCGTACGTCAGTTCTTCGCCAGCGTGGATGTCTCGGAGGGCGAACAGGGCCATCCGGAACTGACCGTTGACGGACCACTTTTGCATCTCGCAGTTCGGGGCGCAGGAGTGGTTGACGAAGCGCCCGTCCCCTCCCATCCGATGCCCGTCTATCACCAGGCCGCCGTCTAGGTGCAGGCAATAGTGGTGCGTGTCCTGGACGTAGATGGTGCCCATGCGTTCCTTGAATTCCTGATCCGCCACCACTTCTCCGACGTACTCGAGGATGAATTCACCGGTTTTTATGGGAAGCTTCGTTCTGACACCCCAACCTATCAAAACACATCCCAAGGTCAAATTTTACATAAAATGATATAGTTTGGAAAGTTTTATTTTACACAGAAACATATCCCTTTAAATGACATAATTTTTATATAAAATTTTGAAAATATCCATGAATTTAATATTTAAAGTGATCTTAGAAAGTTTTATATAATTAAGAGTTAAGAAAGTTTTATTTTATTAAAAGCCAGTTAACAGTCTAATTTTATGTAGAATCACCCAAAATATTTGAAAATTCTATGTATTTAATTTTCTAACACACAAAGTTTTATATAATTAGGAGTTAAGAAAGTTTTATTTTATTAAAAGTCAGTTAACAGTCTAATTCTATGTAGAATCACCCAAAGTATTTGAAAATTCTATGTATTTAGTTTTTTATATAATTAGGAGTTAAGAAAGTTTTATTTTATTAAAAGTCAGTTAACAGTCTAATTCTATGTAGAATCACCCAAAGTATTTGAAAATTCTATGTATTTAGTTTTCAAATACGTTTAGAAAGTTTTATTCTACTAAAAAAAATATAGTTAAAGGTGTAACTTGATACAGAACAATTAATATATTAAAAAGAGGCATGAATTTAATTTCAAAAGGGACTGAAAAATTTTAAATTAATGTTAAATGCATTTAGAAAGTTTTACCAAAATTAAGAAAGTTTTATCCAATTTCATATTTCCACTCACCCTTAGACTCCGTCATGAATTTCTCCAGACCGGGAGCCCACTCGTGCCTCTGTATCCTCTGGTTCTGGCACCGGTGGCTGGCGGGACACTCGGACAACACCAAACGATTGATGCAATCGTCGCCGCAGTTGCTGGAAGGCTTGCAGTTGCACGGTTGGGGCTCGCAGGTGCCCGTCGTCGTCTTGACGTTGTACACGTTAGTGCGGATCTTTCTGTAGTTCCAAGACGGGACGATGTCCCTGCCCGGCAGCTGGGAATGGGTGTGCTGCCACCAGAGATCGAACGGAAGCTGGAATGGAAGCTTGCGGCAGCGCAGGTACTTGCCGCAGTGGTAGGGGGGCGGGAGGAGGCCGTATGGGTGTTCCGACGGGTTGTAGGTGAGGCGGGAGGATTTCTGGGCGTTCTCCGTGCGCTTCTGGCGGACTGTCTCACTAAAAACAAATTTTATGGTTATGCTGAAAGTATTATGACGAGATTTCGGAAAGTTTTACAAGAAAGTTTTGTTTTATAAGAAGGTTTTATTTAGGATTAACAGAAAATCCAATGAAAATGTTAAGTTTGAGATTTTGAAACAGAAAGTTTTATAATTCACCGAAAGTTTTACCGACAGAATTTTGAAACGGAAAGTTTATTGTACTTACTCATCTTCTTTGTAGTAATCTGAGAAGAGCCCGGCAACGAGATACTTCTTCCTCCACCTAGGTGCTTTTTTACACTTCCTCATCTCGTCTCCAGAAGCGGACGCTCTCTCGTCTTTAATACGTCTCTCGATCAACGGCTCGATACTACTAGCAGGCGACACGTCCCTAACCTTCCGTTTTGGATAACCGTTGAGATCCAATAGTTTGTCTTTGCTCCTCTTCCGTTTCCTCCTCTCTTCCAGCCTGGACCTCAGCCGTTCTATGCTGGACTCCAGCGACATCTCCAAGTCCAACTCGGGATCGTCCAGCTTGGTTTTGCTGCGCTCGCTGATCCTAGTATCGACAGACGTTGCAGGTGAGGAATCCCGTTGCCTTAAGGTCATCCTTTCTGGCTTCAGATCATCTTCGAACTCCGTCCTCTCGTCCTGGGGGAGACTCTCGCATTCGCTCATCAGCTCCCACTTGGACGGGCAGTCCTCGATCTTGGTCTTGTCTAGGGTTAGGTTCGGTATCTCGGTGCGTTGCACGAATTTGGTGTACTCCTCGCCTTCCTTGGGCACGCGGTCGCAGGTATTAGCCGGGAGGGGTTCTTTAGTTTCTAAGACGGTCGATTCTAGGACCAGCTGCTTCTTTTTTTTCTTCTTAACGGTGGGAAACCCTGCAAGTTTAAATAAGTGAATTCGTAATCGGTTTTTTTATGAGAATATGCACTCACCTGTCCTGTTTATGGCTCTTCTTTTCCTGACTTTCTTTTTCGACGATTCTGGGGACGTCACTACGTTCTGCTCGTTATCGACCGTCAGGACTTTCTCCTTAACATTGACTTCTTCCGTTATTTCCTCCATCGTCACGTTCGATTTCGGGATGAGATTCCGCTTCGCCTTCAGCTCGGTAATGTACGATTCTATCGTGACCTGCGGCTTCAGCTTTTCCTCGACAAAGGTCGGACTCGGTTCCGTCTTAACCGTCGAGCTGGTCTTTTTTTCCGGGGTATTCGCCATTTCCAACCTGTGTCTCTTCTTGGGGGTGGTAGCCGTGATGGAGCCGTTGCTGGAGTTCAACTTTTCTCCCGGTTTTTCCTCGTCGGTTTTCACTACGGCGGGAGAGACTTTCTCGTCTGAGAAACGGTTGATGCAGGCCTCGATAGCCTCGTCTATGTGACTTCCTACGGCTTTGGTGCTCGTCTCTTTCACCTCGTACTCGTTGTTGTTTAAATGAGTCGCTTTCGGAGACGTGACGTTCGTTTTGATCACCGGCACGTATTTAGCGGCGACCGGCGATTTTTGAGGCTCGGGTTTGGGAGTGCTGGCGCCCGCCTTGAATTTCTCCACTTTTCCTGTACCGAAACTTTGCTTAATTTTATTCTTAACCTCGGCGTTGTCCTCGGGCTCGACTTTAATCTCTTCCGTTTCGTTTTTGCTATCGTTGCTGCTCACCAGGTGGTAATGTCTCTTCTTCAACGGCAAACGTTGCTCGTTACAGTTATTGACCTTGTTAACGGTCGTGTTAACGCTTTGTTTCTTCTTTTTCTTCTCGGCGTGCTCGACGGTCTTCCTCTTCTTCGTCACCTTCTTCAGGGTCTTCAGGAACTGCTCCGGGACGTTCTCCTTGGGCTGTTTCGTGGCGATGGCGCAGCACTTCACGAAATCCGCTATCAACTTGTCGATTTCGAGGTTGATTTTCGGATCGCTCGCCGTTATCGGCTTCAGGATCTTGAATTTGTACTTCTTGTGTTTCTTGTGCTTGTGCCGGCTGTGCATGAGCTTCGGGACCTTCAATGTTTGAAACTTGCTCTTTATCTCGAGTTTGTTTTTCGCCGATAGCACCGTGCGAGTCCTGAGTTTGGTTTTAGGCACACGGGAGGGCTTTTCAACTGTTTTTTCTGTGGGTTTCGCCTCGAGTGGCCCGACGGCCACCGGTCGGTTCTTGGGAGGCCTCCCGGGGCCCTTCCTGATAGCTGCAGGTCTTCCCGGTTTCCTTCTTGGCGGATACAAGACTCGGTCCGCGTTTGCGTAGAGAACTCTATCGAAACGATTGGCTGTCACTGGGATTTTGTTGATTTCCTTTGTTTTATTCACGTTTAACACCGTTTTCATTGCTTTGGTCACTGGTTTTTCACTTTTGTTTGCATTTTTAACAACCGGTTTTTCAATTTTCTTAGCTTCGTCTTTCGTCGTTACACTTTTTTGTTTGATGTTGGGCGATAGGGCGGGTTCGGGGCTCGATACGTGATCCGGGCTGTTCTGTATGCCGGAGTCCGGCGAAACGTTAGGGTTACCGCAGTACTCTTGAGACTTCTCCGAGTTCTTCGCATCCTTGTCGCCCTTCTTCGGTCTTCCCCTCCGTCTCTTCCCGCTATCGTTCTCCGTCTTACCCCCCTGCGCGTCTACGTTGTTCAAAGGCAGCACCGGGGGCTTCAAGCTATCACTAACACTGGGAATAGGCGGGCAGGGAGCGTTTAACATCTGCGTTTGCACCACGAACTGCTGTAGGAGGCTGTTGGCGTACAAACTACTCGGATTCGGGGGAGCGTGCGTCTCTCCCTCGCTGGAACTCTCCGTCGTTCTCTGTATGAGAGCGTTGACGGCTTGTTGGGGTAGTTCCATGTCCGAGCCGGACATATCGCCAGCTGCCGGGGAGTTCTTGTCGGTACGGTTGCATTCGAAGTCGTTGAAGGCGTCTATCTCCTGCTGATCGGGCAGGATGGCGGCTAGGTCCTCCTGGCGGATCTCCTGGAGGCTGCAAGAGGCCAGCATCGCGCTGTCAGCGTCGGACTCGTCCGAGTCCGAGCTGGAGTAGGTGGAACCCCGGGATAGGGGCAACGAGGCCATCTGGAAGAAGAAGGGATCGTAAGTGTGGAACTTTGATTCCATTTTTTTTTTAACATTCTTTACAGATTTTAAAGAGAAGCATGAACAGGTAACTATATTTATTTTTCTTTTATATAAAGTTTGTTTTTACCACACTTTTCAACATATAGCAGTAAACTGGCTTTTTATTACATTTTGTTGCAAAAGAGAAAAAATCTTTTACGAATATACTTTGTAATTATTTTACTAGAAAAATACTATAAAAGTAGGGATATAACTCGTGTTTACAATATTAAAATTAGTTAGGATTTTGTCCAAAAAAGTTAGAAAACACCTTTAGCCAAGAAACTACCAAAACATCTCTAAACTTTTTATGCAAAGTCATGCTACATCAAAATTAATCGTTTTGTGGTTGCAATATGCATAATACGACAATATATACTTTTTTAAAGTGCTAATTCAACCTTTTCCAAAATAATTCTCAATATTCTCGGATCTTCCATGTTTGCTAAACGTATTAACGTCCTCGAAACGGACTCCAACGGCCCGCAATTCCAAAGAAACGGAAAGAGCGGGAAAACCGCACATAAATTAAACGTCAAGTCAACAGCACCACCCACTACAACTTTTTTTTTAATTATTCATAAGGCCCCGATCGATATTTCTACGATTTTTTTCGATTCCGCAGACGGGGCTTCGAATTGGACAGACACGCACACACGTAGTACAAATATCGACCTCTTGGGCCGAAGCGAACCCCTTTCGCCGAACTCATGCAAAGTTGTTGGGTACATGCGAGTATGACGCGTCGCCCATTGCATCGGGGGACCCTTAGAAAGGGTCTAAAAGGGCACGCTGCACACGCAGGAAAGGGTGGAAGCGGAGTGCGATGCGCCAAAGGCTCCGAGACAAATTACCTTTACGTTTCGAATTACAAAATAGTTTTTTAAACAAAACACGTGTATCTTACAAAACTGTATAAAATTATTTAAAATAAAAATTAAATCTGTCAGAACGATTCAATGATACCGACCGCAGGCGGCTGTAAACTCACCTACCGACGGTGGAAAAGGGTTGCGCCCTTCCCTCGAACCGACAGTGTGTGCACGCGGCTTTAGTACACGACTATTAACGTGCAGAACGCGAGGGAGAACCCGACATTTGAATATGCATCTGACGGGGGGGCGCTCGGAAAAAATTCGAGCGGGATATCGCGATAAGAGAGCCAGGTGCGGGCGCTGAGAAAGGCACGATATCGCAAGGTGCAGGAATTCGTCGTCCATTTATAACGGAAGTCTGTTTGAATTCCGTGAATTGTATATTTTTCAAGTAACAAACACATCAAGCTCGGGAAAGTACATAACTAAAACCACAGGAACAAATTTAACGTTTTCGGACCAACAATAAGGCTCAGACCGTCACAAAAACTGTTCTATACAATTCCAAAACACTCGGCACTATCTTTTTTACGACTAACCAATACGCCCGTACTAACTTAGCGACAATTAATGCCCACAATGGCGCCAATCCGCCAACCAACGAGCACATGGTGCGGAATATCACTGGTGTTCGCTATCTTTTCGGACTGCTCGAGAAACGTGACGCAAACTGCAACAAAAAAAAAAAAGGAGACCGACAATTTCTCCTCGCCAGATGATCAGACCCAAGAGTATACATTTCCACAAGCAAATGTGTAATATTACTACGCTGTGCGAAACATTAATTGCCTTGAAGGAGACTCGTTTTGTGCCGAACAAACACACGAAATATTATAAGGAACTTGATGATATGGAGCGCACAGGAAGCGAGTATAGGCCCTGGGGCATATACAGGTTTCCGCCCTCGAAATAAAGGAATAATTTATTAATCTAGTAGGTGTTTTCTGCCGTTGTGCAACACATCAACATACGCCATAGGGCGTAAGTGAATATAAACACTTCAAAATAATATTTTAGCAACTAGTTATATAATATTTTGCGCTATAGGGAGCCAAGCTTCAGCGTCATTAAGAAGTACCTTTTTAGGGCGTAAACCGTTTTACGCCCTAGGACCGTAAGTCGAATTATTATACATATGCTTCGAAAATGTTAGTAAAAACACTATTTGCTTTCTATCAAACACGAAATATTTTATAGAACTTAAGTACATCGCGTATCGATATATTTATTTACGCCCAAGGGCGTATGTAACTATTTGCACCACGAAAATTATTGTTTTATCACCGAATGTAACTTGCTAAGTTCTTCATCCCTTTTTTTGGTTAATTTTGACTAATCAATCCCAAGGCGTATGATTTTTGAGACCGTGGGGCGTAAGTGCAGTTAGGTATGCATTTTAAACGCTTCAGTGAAGAAACTAATAAAATACCTGTTGCATTTTGGTTTTGTTTCCTTAACATATCACTATACGCCCTAGGGCGTAAGTCTATTTCTATACATTCAAAGTGTAACTTCGTGCAATACACAATGCAAGCTTTTCGTGAACACATCAACATACGCCATAGGGCGTAAGTGAATACAAACATTTCAAAATAATGTTTTAGCAACTAGTTGCATATTTTGCGCTATAGGGAGCCAAACTTCAGCGTCATTACGAGGTACCATTCTAGGGCGTAAACCGTTTTAAGCCCTAGGACCTTAAGCCTAATTATTATACGTATGCTTTGAAAATGATAGTAAAAAGACTATTTGCTTTCTGCCAAACACGAAATATTTTATAGAAGTATATCGCGTATCAATATTTTACGCCAAGGGCGTATGTAAACATTTATACCATGAAAATTATTGTTTTATCACCGAGAGTAACTTGCTAAATTCTACATCCCTTCTTTGGTTAATTGTGACTTACAATTCCAAGGCGTATGATTTTTAAGACCCTGGGGCGTAAGTGTAGTTAGGTATGCATTTTAATCGCTTCACTGAAGAAACTAATAAAACACCTGTTGCATTTTGGTCTTTGGTTTTGTTTCCTCAACATATCACTATACGCCCTACGGCGTAAGTCTATTTCACCAGTTCGCCCGACCCGAGGCCATCGGACTTTCCCGGACTCCCCCCGCCGCCGCCGATTTAAATCACGTCGGCGATAAACCGACTCTTATCGATCCCACCGTGCCCGCTGGTAATAAACATTCCGAAGGCGCAAAGCAAGAAATACGCCACTACCCACAGACGTCACAGTAACTGTCTGGAATAATAGAAATTATGTAACGCCTTAATAAGGCATGGGGAAAAATAATAAACAGCGGGTATTTCTCCGTTTATAATGCGAGCCGTATCCGCGAAAGGACGCCAGGAATGCCGATAAATATTCAGACAATGCCCCAATGTCCGCGCTTTGGAGCCGTTCGGCATCAGTTGCTTTATTTAATAACGACGCGCGAGTTATGGACGCGGTACATGTGCCGGAAACGCGAAAGGGGTATTTGCGGTCTTCGTAGTGGCTGGGTACGATTAAGATCTAATATAAATTATTTTTTAATAAACAAAGAGTTCCATAACTTTGAAAACTATCATGTCTTTTTACATGTTTAAAACTTCTGTCGAATAAAAATATATTAAAAATGTAAATTCGTGTCAAGTCAATTTCTAATTTAAATCTAGCGTCGACGTAATCTTTACCGGCGAGAGATTAGAATGATACCTAGTCCTTACCACCTATAATTTTATCGATTCCAAACAGCTGTACATACAAAACACAACGCCGTCGCACCTGGGGCTCCCGACCTGACCTTTGCCAGGCTACTGGCATTTAAAATTAATTGCAAGCGAAATTACGCAACACCCAGTAGTTGTGTCGTTTAACTATAACAATCATGACGTTGGATGGTAGTCGTCGTAACGTAAACTTTATTATTCTTTCGAGATTAAGCACGACGCCAGCCGCCTTAATCCCTCATCAGTTTGACGTTTTGCGCCGATAATTTCCCTCGGGCGCCGCATGCGAGGCGTCGCCGGCGTCGTCGTCGTTGGGAATTCAATTTACGCACCCTATTAGTCACCTGGAAAGCGCAGGCATAAAAAATGTTTTTCCCATGACAAATCGCAGGTATAGAAAATGCTTTCCTCGAGTAGAGATGTAACAACTCGGGAAAATCGGAGGAAAAAAGTTTTCTGTGTTCTTTTCGAAACAAAAAACTGGGAACAGAGAAACAATTTCACATTTTTCGCGACTAAACAACAAAAAGAAGCTAAATTTGTATTCCCTACAGCTAAAATTCCTGAAACCTCAGCCTTTGCCATATTTTTCCTAGGCGCAAGGTCAAAAAAGTTAACAAGGGGGAGTAGAATTTCTCTTGTACGTAAAACAAACAACAAGAACGTACTTTACAGTCCAGTAAGCAAAGGCCTTTTGGATAACTCGCCGGATACTTAAAATTCTCGGCTCGAAATGGCCATTTATAATTTAGCCATTATCACCATTCCACTTAACGACAACAAACCATAAAACTACCATGAAATGTTAAGTGTTACGAAACTCAGCGCGTTTACTCTCGCTCTTTATGCCGTACGACCGACTTTGCTGCCTTTCGATCATTTGTTCTTGCCAGTTAAGTTATTGTTATTATACAGAGGTGCGAGAGATCGCAGATATTGTCTTTATGTTAACGCGTAAGTACGATTTAATAATGGTACAACAATGACGGCTTATTGCTTTCAAAACAAACAAAAAAGAAAAGGAATTTTACTTGGAAATCGGTAATAACAAATGATTAATTTTTTGACAGTTGCAATCCTTTAATTCCTTTAAAAGTTCATCTATGTTTTGAAAAATATTCCAAATCTGGCGCGGTCATCATTACAGAACCCCCTGCGGAGCCAGCGTCGAGTGTGATTGAACGTCAACTTGGGTCCATTGTGCGCTCCAAATTTTTTTGCATATGCCCTGAGGGTGTACAATCCCCTTAATATTCTAAGGGATAATCAATACCAATCAAAATCCGGTGGCTACTATGAGCGAGTTGGCTATGCCAAACTTGAAGTTTTATGAATAAATGTTATAATTTTTTCCACATTTTCGAT